GGGGCTCCTGGCCGTGTTTTTCCTCCTGACACCGACCCAAAGCTGCCCAGCCACGAGCCTGGAGCTCCCTGCTCTGCCATCTCCACCCCACGTGGTGGCACAAAGGGCTTGGCATCCCCTGGAGGGGCTGCCACCCCCTCCCCACCTCTGCACCCTCCCTTTCCATTTCCTTAAATCATGGAATCGGAGAATCCCAGGATGGGTTGGGCTGGAAGGAGCTCAGAGCCCACCCAGTGCCACCCCTGCCATGGCAGGGACACCTTCCCCTGTCCCAGTGTCCAGCCTGGCCTTGGGCACTGCCAGGGATCCAGGGGCAGCCCCATCTGCTCTGGGCACCTGTGCCAGGCACTGCCCACCCTGCCAGGAACAATTCCTGCCCAAAATCCCATCCAGCCCTGCCCTCTGGCACTTAAAACCATTGCCCCTTGTCCTGGCTCTCCATGCTAAACTCAAGGATGTTTTTTCTGTTGCATTTAAACTTTCCATGAACCACGGGGAGAACTCCAGGGGGGCTTTGGGGTGAAGCCCAGAGGGGCAGCCCAGGCCCTGGTGATGTTGGGCAGGTGGGACAGAGCTGGGCTGAGGCTCCTGGATCCCTGGAGGGGCCGTGCCCTGTGCAGGAGCTGCCTCAGGAGCACAGGAGGGTCGCTGTGCCCAGCCTGGGGGGTACAGGGACAGCAGGATGGGTTTGTTCTGCCATTTAGGGATCCCCCAGCTCTCCAGCCAGCACCCCAGGAGAACATCAGCCTGTCCCAGGAGGGAGGAATCTCCCAGGGCCTGAGCAGGAGGGCTGCAGAAAACCCGGCTGGGTTAATCACCGAGCGCTTGGGCCCAGAAACGGCTTAAGAGAAAACCTCACCGTGTTTTTTTAAATGAAAACCTTTCTGCAATAGATCCAACCCAGAAAAAGCCTCAGTCCGTGCATTGCAGTGCAGGTATGAGCCAAACACATGGTGAAAAGGAGATAAACACCGTGTCCTCCTGCACGGCCACAGGAGACAAGTTCCGCGTTTAGAAAGCCAATAAAAATGTATTTCTTTTAGAACAACTGCATTCACAGCACATTGTTTCTCTGAGAAAGATATGTTAGTGACTTTGAACTCCTCCAATGCCATCCAGAACATATTTTTTTTTCCCCAAAGTGTCTCAAAAGTAGCAAAAAATGTGAAAGAATTAATGACTGTTAACAGCTGAAACAGATGGTCTGCTGCGAGTCCCCACAGCCCCATGCAACTGTGAGTCAAGCCATTTTTCAAAATGGTGAAGAAAGAAAAGTAATAGAAAAAAAAAAAAAAAA